CCTGGGAAATCCCAGGTCATAGCTCCCACTGATGAGCACATGGTTCAGAGCTGGGTGTTGGGCAGCCTGGGCAAGGTAGATTCATCCATCTGCAAGTTTGTGGGTTGATTTTGGAAGGGGGCGTACCAGACAGGGCCAAGCAAACCATAGTCCACTGGCAGAAATCAGGATGGAATGCAGATCATGCCCGTCTATGCTGCCACACCTATTGCTTTGCATGAACTAGGAATGAGAACATACTGAGCAGGGCCAGATTCCAGCACTTGCCAGCAAGGGATGGGACTGGGAGCCGGCTGGGCCAGGTCAGGCTGCAGCATCCTAACGCAAAGGCAAGACAGGGGAAGAGATATGCCAAGTTGGGTTAGAGCAACCACTGGCATGAGCAAGATCTGTGGCTGTGATCATGACTGGCTGGGGAGCTAAGGGGATGCCCTCGCTGGGCTGTGGACTCCACTGGTGAGCACAGGGGGCAGTGTGGGGATGCAGTCTCGTCTGGACATGGATGCAGTCTCCCTTGGCATGGTTGTGGACTGGGCCTGGGATATACTCCAGCACCCATTGGAGCTCTTGAGAACCAGAATGGGTAAGAGTTGGTCAGGAAAGGCCACTGTTCTGGCTAGGACAGGGGATGAACTAAGTAGGTCTGGCAATGGACCCACTGATGGGTGCGAGATCTGGTATTGGGAGAAGTTCTGATGGAGGAGCTTGGCAACTCCTCTGTTGGGACACAGTCCCTGCAGGTTAGTGCAAAAATCATGGTAGGGAGCATCCTGGCCCAGGCCAAGTTATGGTACCCATGGGCTTACCTTTGGCTCAGGTCTGGGGCAAGTCAGGTTGGGCCAGTTCATATCTGACAGCAAATCTGACAGCCAGAATGGGATGTGGGTCATGTCAGGTTGGGCTGCAATACCAGCCAGTTCATACTAGGGCTGGAACTGGGGGCCGATTTGGCTGGCTCGGCCGTAGTCCCCACCAGTGTGAGTTGGAATTAGGGGCGGGACTGGCCTGGCCTGGCCTGGCCTGGCCTGGCGAAAACACCCACTGGCAAAAACACCCACTGGCAAATGCCGAGGTGAGGCGGGCCTTACCAGACTGGGCTACAACACCCAACTAGCACATGTGAGACCCAGGGGAGAGTGGGCAAACCCAGTGGTGGGACTTTGTGTAGCTCCCCTATTGGGCCATCATTCCCACTAGTGACTGTGAGAGCTGGGATTGGGGGCAGACCAGGCCAGGCAGGACTGTAACATCTATTGGCCTGAATGTAAGCTGGATCCGGCTGGGTGGATTGTACTTATTGGCACATGCATAATCCAGAGTGAGTGAGGGTTGGTTGGGCTTTGATGCAGAATCAGCTGGCAGAGGCTGGCACAGGGGGAAAACTCTATCAAGCTAAACTGCAGTACCACCTGGAGAGTGCAAGATCTGTGAGTGGGAGTGGACCCAGTAGGGAAACAGTGGGCAACTCCCTCTTGGGCTGCCACTCCAGTCGTGAGAATAATCAGGACTGAGAGGCATGGCTAGGCAGAGAGTGGCACCTGCCAACACATGTGTGGCCTGGATAGAGGGGCTGGTTGGGTTGATCTAGGCTTCAAGGCCCATTGACATGTGTAAGAGCTTAGTGGGATATGGGACAGACAGAACTAGTCTGCTGTACATACTGGCAAGCATGGGAACTAGGGCAGGGAGCGAGCCTGGTGGGGTTATTGTGGGTTGCTCTGGCTAGCTTCAGCTGCCACTGGTTTGTGTGAGGTCCAAGTGAGCGGTTTGCAGGATTAGGCTGGGCTACAGTACCTGTTAGTTTGCGTAGAAGACAGGACTGGACACAACTGACCCAGAAGTGGTAACAGTGTGTGTGAAGGCTGATTTGGGCCACAGACTGTGCGAATACCCTATATTGGCATGCACACATTAGAATCAGGTCTGGGATCACCTCAGATTAAATTTCTTTGGGGAACCCCCAACTGAACTGCAGAACTCAGAACTCCAACCATAGAGAGAATTGCAAGTTTCATGGTCTGATCGTGGAGTGTGTATCTGACCTGGGCCTCCTCAGTGGCTTAGATGGAGCAGTGGACAGCATATCCAGAGGCACATGGAGGATATAGCAGTACACTGGAGCCTTTAGAGGATACCTAGTAGCATATCAGAGGAGCTTGGCTCTTCCCCCTTGTCTTTCACATGGGTGCAGGGGCCAAGCATGTGGGTCGTCCTCCACTGCTTTTCCAGGTGCATTAGCTGGGAGCTGGATTGGAAGTGGGGTCACTGGGACTCAAACAGGCATCTGTATGAAATGTCAACCCTTCAGGTAGGGGCTCTACCCACTATGGCATAGCACCAACTCCCTGAATAGAACCTTTTAAAGCACTGCTTTGGATGTGTCAACAATCTACTTCTTCAATGAAGACAGAGAGCTTGTGTTTGCTTAAAAAGTCTCACCTTTTATTCTAGCCTCACTATAATATATACTTTTATACTTATATACTTATATACTTATATACTTATATATTCTTGCCCACTATAATTTTACCTCTCCTTCAGGAATCTGGTCAAAATATTGATTTATCCATGAAGCTTTGCTATCACTCCAACTTCAAGGGATTTCTTCTCCATTTATAATTTCATGTTGATTACTGTTTCTAACAGTGTACATGATACTTGGTTGATTACTGGTTTTATCTAGAGAAAAATTTATGTGTGAATTAAGATAGTAAATAGAATTCCTATATAAAACACTTCTGGCTGCCCCTGTAATTAATACGCTAATATAGTACATTTGTCAACACGAATGAGCTGACGTAGTTGCATTATTATTAACTGAAGTTTCTACTTTATTCTGATTTCCTCAGTTTTGTTCTAATGTCCTTTATCCTGTTCCGGAATCTCACCCAAGATCTCCCATTACTTTCAGTCATGATGTTTTCTTAGGTTCCCTTAGCTGTGATGGTTTTTCAGGCTTTCTTGTTGTTGATGACGTTGACAATTTTGAGAATCACCTGTCGGGAATTTTGTACAATTTCCGATAGGGAGTTGTCTTATATTTTTCTGATGAATGGATGAGGTAATGGATTTTTAGGAGAAGGACTGCAGAGGCAAAGTGCTGATCTCATTATGCCGTGCTCATCTCTCCTATTGGTATGACTTATCAATGTTGCTGTGAATCTTGAACACTTGGCTTGGAGTAATGTTTGTCATATTTCTCCACTAAAGTTACTCTCTTTTTTTCTCTTTTTATTTTATTAAGATTTTGTTTTTTCTTTGTTTGAAAGGCAGAGTTACAGAGAGAAGAGGAGGCAGGCAGGGAATCTTCTATCCACTGTTTCACTCCCCAAGATCTACCAAAGTTGTGATTGAGTCTAGCCAAAGCCAGGAGCTGGGAGCATCTTCCAGGTCTCCTACCTCGGTGGAGGGGCCCAAGCACCTGACACATCCTTTTCTGTTCTCCTAGGCACATTAGCAGGGATCTGGATCAGAAGTAGAGCAGACAGGATTCCAACTATCCTGCATATCAGATTCTGTCGTTGAAGGCTGAAGCTTGCTGTATCAAAATGCTGGCTCCTCCTTTGTCCCTTTATACATGTTCTTTGAAGAAATATGCCACATGCTGCTTAAACTTGATAGATGTCAAATAATCACATTCATGATTGTGATTTTTTTTTATTATGGAATGTAATGTACCAATCATTTCCCACTTTTAAAAAAAGATTTATTTAGTTTTATTGTAAAGTCAGATTTACAAAGAGGAGAGACAGAGGGGAAGATCTTCCATCTGCTGATTCACTCTCCAAGTAGCCACAATGGCCGAGCTGAGCTGACCCACAGCCAGGAGCCAGGAGCTTCTTCTGGGTCTCTTACACAGGTGCAGGGTCCCAAGGCTTTGCCAAGACCATTCTCAATTGCTTTTCCAGGCCACAGCAGGGAGCTAGATGGGAAGTGGGGCCACCAGGATTAGAATCTGATGCTGGTGTATATGAGGCGAGGACTTTAGCCACTAGGTTACTGCACCGGGCCCATATCCTATCCCACTTTTTAAATTCAGTGATTTGTTTACTTCAGCAAGAACACATGGGCATCTATTTGTTATTGGGCTGCAGTTCAATACTTCTTTATTTTGTTGTTCACGTTGTTCTAGCCTTGCCCTTGGGAGCTCTTTCAACTGGCTCCCGTGCCGTTTCTGTGTCCCTTTGACTCACTGCCATCATTTTGGTGTGTGCACACTTTCTGTTTCTGTCATGAAACGATATTCTAGGCACATTTTGTGTATTTCCTCTTCCAGTCTTATAATCAGCCAAATTTTAAAGGAAAGTGTTTCCTTTTGTTGTAAAACAGTATTAAAAAAACAACATCTGGGGACTAGATTTGCTTGTTGGTATTGGAATGTCCTCTGAGCTGAAAAAGAAAGGAGACATGTGCATGTATTTTAACCCAAATATGTATGCATACCTCTAAATACTTTCATATGCTACTACCTGCTTCTTTATGAGCCTAAACATAAACTCATATCTATGTCTCCAAACCAAATGTGCCATCAAATAAATCATTCTAGGGAAAATTAAAAAACATAGAACCTCAGACACAACTCCAGATTCAACAAATCAGAGTAGATATTAAACACATATGTTTAAAAAAGCAAAATACCAAGGTTAATGAATGTTTTTCTGGGTTAATATAGGATCGGTGTCAACATTTTGAAAAAAAAAATCACTTGGCATCATAAATATATTTTTGTCACTATTCACTGTGTAGATATTTATCTTAGAATTTTCTCAGCTATCATTTTGCTCTTTTCAATCCCGTGTGTATATCATCCCAACCGGTTTAAAATTCTTAATTAAGTAGTTATCGGATGTACTATTCAACTCCACATGTCTATGAGTTGGAATGTGAAATGCGAACACTCAGAAGAATATAACGTGGACTATAATGTTAAATGTGGAACTTGTGTCCATTCCTGTTAGCAGTATCTGCCTTACTTATTTCTTCTCTTCTTACTTCCTTAGATTATTGGTGGACTGTAGACTCCAGTTCCAGCACTGTCTTCTGAGATGATTTCGACTGCCAGAATGCCCTTAGGGCTGCTGCTGCTGCTGCTGCCTTTCCTGAGTTCTGCAAAAGCTCAAGTTAATCCAGGTAATATAGTCACTTCTCACTTATCTGCTAGAAGACCAGCTAAACTTTCAAGCCCATCTTCAAGTTCATCACTGGGAGAGCCCAGCCAAAGCCCGCTCCCGAACCTCATTTGTATTTACCTCTATGAGGCAATAGGGTCAAAGCAGAAACTAATGTACTGTCTCTGTTTATATAATGTGTAAATAATGTGAAAGTTGTTTTGATACAGAATAGGCAAGAGTTGTAGGGTAAACTTTAAAAATGGGAAATAAAAATAAGCAGTCATTTTCTTCAGCAATGTCGAGGGAAAACAGCAAAGAGAAAATGTGTAGGTTGATTTTTAGCAGGTTTTTTTTTTTCCCCCCCTATTGGCTTGGGTCAGTAGGCTTCTAGGAGGAGTCTCTTTCCTACAGGAGGTAAAACAAATGTGTGAGAGGAATTTATTTCAGCCAAGATTTGTTTGCATTCTTATTATTTTACATTATATCTAATTTTAAACTTTATACGAGTATATCCTTCATCTGTTATGCAATAATTCTGCCTAACAGCCTATGCACAGCTCAGTGCTCGAAATGTCTGTTTCATTCCTAAGCTTGGTGGTTTAGGCTGGGTTTGGTTGGAATGTTGTCTTGCTTGTGGTGGTTCACTGTTGAATCTGCGAGTAGACTTGGTTCATCTAGGATGATCTTGGCTCTGGTGATGGGGACAGCTTGGTTATGTCCTGTTTCATTCTTCATCAAACTGGTCCAGGTGTGCTTTCACGGAAAGCACGCAGAAACAGGAGCAGAGGCAGGACTAGCAAACACATTTTCAAGCTGTTATCGTAAGATCTGGCTAGAGTAAGTCATTCAGCCAAACCCCAAATCAAGGTGGGAGAACAAAACAATATGCATGCTGAAGCCCTGGATTCAGAGTTGGGTGAATCACTGGAATTGGTTTTTTTTCCATTTTGTCACAAACATAAACATAGAAAAGTGTATGTAGCTGAAAGAGCCTCATTTGATGAGTTTTTGATTTGAATATATCCATCTTATGGTTCTCTGGCAAGAAACAGAATTTAACCAAAACTTCTGAGATTCCTTGCTCCTATATAATTGTGCTTTTCACCCCCAAAGTTAGTCATTATCATGTTTTCTAGCAATATAGATTGGTTTTGCTGTTTTGTGCTTTCCATAAATGCAGCAATGTATTCCTCATACTTGCTTTCTTTCACTTTGTGTTTTGTTTATAGTAATCATCCTATTATTGCATTCAGTTGATTGTGTATACTAACTGTTTTATAATTTCGCTTTGGCTATGTTATTGAGGTAGTCTACTGTGCGCGAGGATTTGGATAGGCGCACAGTGTGGGCCCATCATGAATCAAGTTCCTGTACTTATTCCTCCAAAGAGGTTTTGGTAACTATATATACTGAATGCTCTTGGTTACAGATTTAGAAGTGGAATTTTGGGGTCATTTATACCATATAGTGGACTGTTCTGCATAATGCCATGGAGGTTTCCTAGTTGGTTTTAAACATTTCCCATCCCGTAAGTGTTTTATGACAGTCACACTTGTTTCATGCTGTGTTTGGATTCTTGAGTTATTTTGTTCTCTTCACAGTGTAAAGGTGTCCTTGCGAAACACTTTCTCTCCTTCACTGCTTAGCCATAAAAAAATATTCTATTTTGCAACAAAACAGATGAAATTGGAAATCATTATGCTTCATTAATTAAGCCAATCCACAAAAGTAATATCATGTTTTCCCCCCGATTTGTGGTAACTAACTTACAGAGTACAAAAAAGTGATGTATATGAGTAAAATTGATATTTGAGGTTTGAATATAATTTATAACTTTTGCTATGCTCCTGAGTAATAGTTGTTTCTCTAAGTGTGGTTTGATGGATTCTATATTTAGTGGAAGGTTAAGCTTGTGTTTATAAAGTGAATTAAAAGTATGTCATTGTAAAAACTAAAAGAAAATAAAGGAAGAGGGCTAAGTGAGTGAAGGAGTGTAGGTGGGAAGTGACATTGTACTTTTTTTTAAAAAAAAGATTTATTTATTTTTATCAGAAAGACAGATTTATAGAGGGATGGAGACAGAAAGATCTTCCATTCACTGGTTCACTCTCCAAGTGGGTGCAACAGCCAGAGCTGAGCCAATCTGAAGCCTGGATTCTCCTCCTTCTTCTTGTTCTCCCACACAGGTGCAGGGTTCCCAGGCTTTGGGCTATCCTCAACTGCTTTCCCAGGCCACAAGGAGGGAGCTACGTGGGAAGCAGAGCAGCCAGGATACAAACTGGTGCCCATATGGAATCTTGGCACATGCAAGGCGAAGATTTAGCCACTGAGTCACCATGCTGGCACTGACACATTATACTCTTAAATCGATGAAGTTGTTTCCTGCACATAAATTAAAAATGAAAAAAAATTCATATCCAGGGCTATTGTATTTTACCCACAATAAGAAATGTAATTAAAATTTCTTAAGATCTGAGAATAATAGGTTGAATAAGTCAGTGCGCTGTTACTTTGTTGGGGCATCTCCGATCGGCGCTTTGGACACCATTTCTTCTCTTTTTTCTAAGCATTTCTCTTGGTTGTTGAGGACTGCTTGCCTCCCACTCCCATCTCCTTGTTCTGTGATCTAAGGAAGGAGATGCAGGTACCCAGGAAGGAGGATGCTTTGGGCCAGGCACACTCCTGGAGATGGATGGGGTCCTTTAGCACATGTAAATGACTCACAAGTGGGTGAACCTCTTCAGTGTGTATACCTCAACACAGGGCAGAAAATGGACAGTTTGAACACAGCGAATAGTCCTTTAAATTTTTTTCTTTCCTAATTGTGGTTTCAGGTATTTCTGTTGGCCAAAGAAAAAGAAATTAGCGGTCTTGACTTACAAAGATCTTTATAGGAACATGGAGAAAATTGTAGGATTAATGTCTTCGCTGTCATTTCTTCCTATTTTACCAAATTAAACCACAGAGTTAAGCAGATAAAAAATTTCTACTCTTCACTAGTGTTAAAGGTCTAGCTGTGGAGCATGCAGCCCGTGGAATTTTACACCTACCCCTCTACCAAACATAGTGTAGGTATGTAGTAATGATTTTCCAGGAGTCCTTGTTGAAGCTATTAAACAGCTACAAACGAAAAATGTTAATGTATGTGAGCAAACTTGGCACTTTGAGATTTGAGTATTGTTTCCCGCTCTTGAGTATCCTCTTTATTTAGTGGAGGCTTCAGGTTGTAAAGAACTGAAAGTATATCATTGCAAAAATTAAAAAGGAAAATAAGAAAAGAAAGATGAGAAGGTGGAAAGAGGAGGGACGGAGGGTAGGGAGGGAAATATTATGCTTTTAAAATGGAATATGTGAAGTACATGGAATTTGTTCCCTTTAGATTAAAAAAAATGTTTAAAATGACTGGAAAGAAACTAAGGTACTGAAAACTAATTCTCCACCTACAAAGGCCTGCATCCAATAAGAGTGCCATTCATGCCCATGGTTGCTCCATTTCCCATCAAGTTACCTGTCTGTGGCCTGGAGAGCAGTGGAGGGCAGCCCAAGTCCTTGGGATCCTGAACCTATGTGAGAGACCTGGAAGAAGCTCCTGGCTTCACATCGACTCAGTTCTGGCCATTGTGGCCATTTGGAGAGTGAGGTGGTGGATGGAAGGTCTTTCTCTCTGTCTTTACTTCTCTTTGTGAATCTGCCCTTCTAATAAAATAAATAAATTTTTAAAAAACTGATTTGCCATTTAGCTCATTGTTAAATTATTAAAAATGTATTTAGTTGATTATTAAATATAGAACATCTGATTGCAAAGTGAGCTAAACATTACATTTGAATAGTAATATAAGAGGAATCAAACATTTTATTTTGTGTATTTCACAGGGAGTGAGCTTTCATTATTAGCATAACTAGGTTGATGATACAGATATTGAATCTGTAAGAGTTCAATCTAGAAAAATCTGCAGATACCAAGATAAATCATTTTGTTGATACCCACATAAATTCTCTGCTACTTGAGGCCATAAGTTTGTCTATGGGTATTATCCTTTGAAAGCTTTGAAGGCAATAGTAGGATGGCTTAGATTTTTGATCAAATAGAAAGGCAGTGACATTGTTCACTTGCTGAGCCAAAGCCTTTGGAAAAGCCAATCATGAGGCAGCTGATGTTAGTGGCGTTTCCAGTAATGGCGATATTGAAGGCCTTGTTGTCAGAAGAGGATGCAGTGAAGACTGTCCGGTCTATAAGGCAGATGCTGGCATCGAGGTAGAGCTCTAGGATTCTGAAGCATCGTCCTTTCAGCTGCAGCCATGAACTTGAACCTAACGATGGTCCATCCCGTGGGAAAGTTATCTGAAGAATGTGAAGCATTGTTTCATGTCAAAATCATGGCTTAGTGCTTTCTGCTAGCAAGTTCATATCAGATAATCGTGTATTTTCCAGATAGATGGATTGGTTATTATTAGAATATTCCGATGAACACTTTGAAACCCATTTAGAAAAAAAAAAATCTGAATTACTTATTTTGAGTAACAACTCTAGTTACAATCTGGTTTGGTGATAAATTAATCGTGACACTGAAAAAGTTATTCTATTTTCTTGTACTTTCTTAATCTTTTTCCTGGTGCTAAAGTGAGACAGGGAGGCAATTTATGAGACCCTTTCTGTTGCAAACTTGGATATAATTTTATGATGTGAGAACTTTACTCACTAGTTTAGAAGTTCATGTTTAGGGGCCCAGCGTGGTGGTGCAAGTGGTTAAGGTCCTCGCCTTGCACGCCCGGGATCCCATATGGGCGCCGGTTCTATCCCCCAGCAGCCCCACTTCCCTTCCAGCGCCCTGCCTGTGGCCTGGGAAAGCAGTCGAGGACGGCCCAAAGCTTTGGGACCCTGCACCCGCGTGGGAGACCAGGAAGAGGCTCCTGGCTTCGGATCGGCATAGCATCACTTGGGGAGTGAATCATCGGACAGAAGATCTTCCTCTTTGTCTCTCCTCTCTGTATATCTGCCTTTCCAATAAAAAATAATAA